TCATGACGAGGACAAATACGCTCCCGATCGAGCACGGGAGCTCAAAGGCGAACGCCAAGATCGTGTTGAGGATGGTGCGCCCTTGCGCAGCAAAGACGCCGCCAGTGCCAACGCCAACCAGCAGCTGCCCCATTGGTGGCGACGGCGGAGGAGGGGAGGGGGGCGGTGACGATGGCGGCGGTGATGGTGGCGGAGAGGGCGGCGGTGGCGATGGTGGAGGTGATGGGGGCGGCGATGGCGGTGGCGGAGGGGGCGGCGATGGTGGCGGTGGCGGCGGCGATGGCGGCGGCGGCGGCGGTGGCGACGGTGGCGGCGGCGACGGAGGTGGCGGAGGGGGAGGCGACGGTGGCGGTGACGGCCCGGTGGGTCACGATCGGGTTGAAGATGATGAATTTCAGCCCGACCGCCGCCAAGCAAAGACGGTGCGCGCCGCTTCCATCGCCTCTTGCGTCCACATGCCGTCGGCCGGCTTGATGTGTCGTCGCACAAAGGTCTCGGCGCGAGGCGGCGAGAGCACCACCGGGTCATTGAGCAGTGACTCAAACACCTCCAGATTTCCGCCCTGGAGCGAGCCATCATTCTGCGGCTGCGGCATGACGGGACGCACTGCGTGGATGAAGAGGGCCTCAGCCCCGCGTCGTGCACCGTCGCTCGTGAGGCATGGCGGATGCGCAGGCCGCGTGAAATGAATGATATCCGCCGCCGGGTTGCGTCTGGCCCTTGGAACGGGCGCAGCTCCCTCCCACCCCTACATACGCGACCATCAGGTTCTCGGTCGCCTTGTCGAGGTCAAAGTTGGAGATGGCTAGCAGCCGTTGCGCCTCAGTAGAGCTATCTGGCAAGCCAATGGACTGCGCCGTTTGCATGTACTTTGCCTCCTGCTCCGCTCTCGACTGTGCGGGTGCAGCCGTCTGGTGCAGTCACACCATCGAAACCCGTCGCAGACATGGCCTGCTGCGATGCGGGGTTCGACAGCGCACCGAGCGACACCGCTTCAGCTGGCAACACGGTTGCGATCGCAGCCGGCTGCGATCCTCCTTGAGCCCACCCAGCCCCTGCGGCATTGCTCGACGACGGCGGGGCCGGCACCATCATAGGCGTCGGGAGACCAGCGGAAGACGAGGCGGCGGCGTGCGGGCCGGCGGGCTGCACTGGCGGCGGCGATATGTAACGTGCGGTGCAATCTCCTGCACAGGTACGGTCCCAGACTGGAGTCCCGTCTGCAATGGCGCTCGGTTGTGGTTGCAGTGGCCGACGCAGGGTGTGCCGGCCGGCTTATGCTGCTTGCAAACGGCGCACTCGAAGGCCTTCTGGGCGGGGTTGACGTTGGATGCGTACCTGTGCGGCGTGCCCGACCACTGCCTGGCACTCATGGCAGACTACCACGTCCGTGCTACCCCGTGCTACCCCCGCCCCGAGGGCCCCTATCCGGCGCTCCCCAAGCTGCAGAAACGAGCTTTTAGTGGCTATAAGCATAGGCACTGAGATTATGGTGCGCGCGGAGCGCGCTGGTGCTACTCGGACATACGCGCGGAGCGCGCTAGCTAGACACACGCGCGGAGCGCGCCGGCTAGATAAAGCCGTACCGCGGAGCAAGCAAATCAACACAACCGTTCGAATGCTGACGCCGCAAGTCGTTGCCGCCGGTTGCCAAAGTCCGCCTGGATTGCTCAGCAGCACAAGCATCCACGGAGCCAGCGAGCGCCGAGCGACATTGCCTTGACAATCTTGACTGAGCCGGTCGGCGGGCAAACTTGTAAAATGGTTCCGATGGCCGAGGTAGCTCCGGCGGACGTGAGAGCACGGCCTGACGATCAAGCACGAGAGCGACGAACGGAGGCGCAGATAACTGGCGGTGAACTCACTGCTGATACCTGCTGGAGCTGCGGAAGATGCAGTGGTACTGCCACAGACAGAGCACCGCGCGCTCCGGCGCGCCGCTGGAAAGCACGCGCGGAGCGCGCCGCTGGGTAGGCGCGGAGCGCTGCCACTTGAGACTGGGCCTGTGGGTCGCGGGTGGGCCGATTGGTTCCAGCGTGTGAGTCAAACTCTTAATAGAGATCGCAATCTAGCCCTCCACAACCCTCAAAATTTTCTTCGGGGCGCGCGCTCCGCGCGCGGCGCTCCGCGCCTCACTCCTTGAGCGTCATAGGCGCTGACCCGCACATGTTCTGCAGCTTGGGGCCCGAGACGCTCGGCGAGGGGCTGTGCAAACCTCTGTTGTGTTGAAGAGGCAACCTAAATGCTACTGTCTCTTGAATAAGGTCCGAGACTGGAAGCCCCCGACGTCTGTTCGTTACGGAGAGACACGCACAGCCACACGCACAGGGCATTTCAACACCAAAAGAATCTAACTCTGTAACACTCGGGTTGCTGACAGACTGCGCCCAAACGCTGAACGTAATACAAGCTACACAGCACACATCTCACGCTCAATTCAAGCCTTCAAGCCTCATGTCGCCATTGCATCTCGAGACCGCGCTCGCTTCGAGCGACCCCGTGCACTCGCTCTCGCGCGCCGCGACTCATCCGGCCTGGTCAGGAGCAGCTCGGGCGGCATTGTCCACGAGTACTCCTTGGTCACCTACGTTCACCCGCCAGCGTGAACAGGCGTAAACCACGGCCCGCGCTGTGCTCGCCGCCAGTCTTGGCGCCCTCTGGCGCCAGTACGGCCGGTCGAGTCGTGCGGACCAGCACTCCTTCCACAGCGATGCCGCCTACTCACAGCCCCCGTCGCTGCGAATGGCGCCCCGCTGTTCGAGCGACCCTCCGTGCAGCGGCTGCGTCGCCTCGCCCGCGGCCTCCGACCCCCCCTCCCGGCGTGACGAGCGGCCTCCCCTCGCCGCGCCTACCTTGCGCGCGAGGTGTGAGCTAGCCGCACCTCACCGGGGGAGCTGCACGCCTCCCTCTCCCCGCGCCCTTCCGCCGCCTCTTGCGCTCCCTGCCCTCCTCCTCGCCCTCGCCGCCCCTCCTCGCCGAACGCTCCGCCCCGCGCTCACGACGCGCCGCCTAACGCGGTCCGATTGTGACGGTGAGCCGTCGTCCACACCGCGTGCTCCGCCGCCACGGCGCCGCCTCCGCGGCGGGGTCGATGTACTCCTCCCGCCACACGCGCCGCCGCTCCTCGCGGTTGTACAGGAAAGCACGCTGCCGCCGCCTGCATCGCCAGAGGAGAGCTGCCGTGAGAACAGAGGCCGCCGAGCCCTTGCAAGGGAGCGCAAGAGGGCGCAGCGGCGTCGCCGCCTTGCCTCTATCCCCACACTTCGGCTACACTCCCGCCGCATCTCGGCTACACCTCTGCTACAGATCGGCTATGACTCGGCCGCCTCGAGTAGCCACGCCGCCACCCCGCAGGCAGCTCTCCGTCACCGCCCTCCGGCTCGTGGCTCGCCTCGCCGAGGGCGCCAGGCGCCGCCGCCTCTGCGCCGCGACCGACGGCGTCGCCCTCGCCCCCCCACTCTGCGCTTGAGCTGTCGTCCTCCGAGCTCGACCACGGCGACAGCGCGCACCTACACCACACACGGGCGCGCTTCCCAGAGAGGCGTCCTTCACACGATCACCGCCCCACCGCGGTGTGAAGAGCTCGCACGTCGAGGCCGTCTGCTCTGAGCCGGCGCCAGACACCCCCGCGGCCCCCCAGTAGCTCGCAGGCACGCTCGGCGCGGCCGTGGCCGCCGCAAAGCCAGAGGAGGCGCGCCGAGGCGGCGGCGGCTCGGGGCCGTCCATGTCTCCCTCCCCGCCGGCCGGCCTGCCCGCAGGGGCGTCTGGCAAGCTTGCGGGCTCCTCGCCGCCGCGCGCCTCGTCACCCGCAGCCGCAGTGGCGGCGGCGCGGTCGCGCCGGTTGAGCGCCTCCCGCAAGGGCAGCCACCGGCCGTGCTCGGCTTGCGCGAGGACGTGCGGGTCCGAGCAGACGGCGCACAAGCAGCCGATCGCACCGCCGGCGGAGGGCAGCACGTGCGCCGCCCGGCCGCAAGTGTGTCCGCACGGCAGCGCGCAGCCGCACGGGCGTAGAGCGCTGTTGGAGCCGCCGAGGTGCCACTGCCAAGTGTCGCCGCCCGCCACAGCACAGAGCTGCCGCACAGTCGCATGCCATTCTGCCCGCCAGCCCGCCCGCGCACGACCGCCTCCCCTGCCAACACCCCTGCCGCCGCCCCTGCCGCCGCCGGCGGCGCTGGCTCGTTGCTGCCGCTCCCTCCAAGTCAGCACCTCGCCGTCGTCCGAGTCGCCCCCGCCGCCGCCCTCGCTCCCGCTCCCGCCGCCCCCGCCGCCGCCTCCACTGCCGGCTCCGCCGTCGCCCTCACCTCCGTCTCCAAGCCGGCCCCCGCCGCCGTCTCCATCCTCTGCTCGGTCGGCGCGGCCCCGCCTCGCCTCGTTGAGGAGCTCCTCGAGCCCAAACGGGTCCTAACATCTCCGGGCGATCTCGGCTCACCTCGGGCAACCTCGGGACGAACCGCACGACATTGCGCCTCGTCCGACGGGGCAGCGGCGCCGGCATCGGAGGCGCGCGGCGAAGCGGGGCTGGTCGCCTTCTGCGTCGACGGCGCCTCGCCGCCGCTCCTGCCGCCGCCGGTCGCCTCGAGGCCGAGAGGGAGCGCAGCCTATTCACGGCAGCGGTGTGAAATGCACGCCACCCCGACGAGCGCGAGGAGGGGAGGGGTGGGTTGGCTGCGCGCCCCCGCGAGTCCCTCTGTGCGCGCCAGCCGACCGACCTTGCGCCAGAGCTCCGACCCCGCCGACAGCATGTCGAGGTCGCACGCGCCTGCTCGCAGCGGAGGAGGAGGCGTAAGTGCGGCCGGGTCACAGGGCTGGTCGGCACCGCTCGAGGGCGCGCGCAGTAGAAGCCAAGCCGCGCACGCGAGAGGGCGACGCAGATGCGGTTGTCGATGGCCGTGAAGCCGAGCCGTCCGCCCGAATTTGAGCGGACGAGCGAGACGAGGACGAGGTCGTTCTCCTCGCCCTGGTACGCGTCGACGGTCGAGAGGACGAGCCCGTCGAGGCCACACGCCGCCAAGCCGGCGCGCAGCCGCAAGACCTGCGGCGCCAAGGGCGGTGGCGCGTCGGCGGGTAGGCGTGGCGAGTGGCGGGTGCGCGGCGTGGCGGTCTGCCTGCCCCACGTAGGCCGCGAGGATGGTGATGCGGCCCTGCGCGTACCCCAGCCCGACGAGCAGCGCGGAGAGGCAGAGCAAAACCTCGGCCTCGTGGCTGTTCTCGGGCGAGAGCAGGTCTCGCCTCACCCGCTCCGCCGCCGCGTGCGTGATGAAGTACGCCGGCTTGGCCATCCCGAGCACCGGCGGGCGCGTGAGCGTCACCGCGTGGTCGCGCAGCTCCGGGTAGATGGGCGAGAGCAGCCGCGAGATCTGCGGCCGCATCCGCCGCTGCGTGCGCAGCCGCACGTACGGCACGTTGTTGTTGAGCGCGCGCTCAAAGAGGGAGACGGTGAGGCCGTAGTGGAGCGCGAGCTCGTGGCAGGCGGCGGAGGGGCGCAGCTGCTGGTGGTCGCCGATGAGGAGCAGCTGCGCGGTCGACTTCCCGAGCGAGGCGAGCACGTGCGCCTCGAGCACCTGACGAGAGGTGCGGCCGAGGTGCGGCCGAGGTGCGGCCGAAGTGTGGCCCGTGCGCACGTTGTAGCACCTCCGCCGCCTCCTCGAAGACGGTGACGCGGCAATCGAGCTGGCGAACGAGCTCGTGGTACTTTGCCGCGCCCGTGGTGGTCATGCCGACAACCGCCGCGCCACGCAGCACTGCGAGCGCCTCAGCGTCGTCGACAGCGCGCTTCGCGGCGCGCGCGAGCCGGTAGGCACCGAGCGCCGCCTCGAGCTCGCGTTGCGCGCGCGTCTGTGCGCCCAATCGGAGGGCGGCGTACAGCGCCCGCCGCTCCGTCGGCGACAATACGTCGAGGGCGACGCTGCGCCCGCCCTCCGTCGCCGCCACCTCGGCCGCCTCGCAAGCGTGGTCCAGCTCGGCCGGCGACATCGGCGACGCGAGGCGGAGGTCGGCGTGCGTCGCCTCGCCGTGCGCCGCGCCGCCGGCGCCAAGCCATTCAGCAACGCCGCCCGCCGAGAGCCGACCCAACGCCGTGTTGAGCGCTCCCCACAGCGGCTGCACCTCGCGCGGCGGCGCGTGCGGCAGGGAGGAGCCGCGGCAGAGCAAGCTGCCCGACAGCAGCCTCGGGCCCCACGCCGCGTGGCAGCGGCCGGCGACAGAGGCGAGGCGCTCCCGCGCCCGTCGCAAGTCCTCCGTCAGGTTGTCGCTGAGCCGCTGCTCGTCTCTCGAGCGGTGGGCCTGACTCAGCAGTCCCCACCGGGTGGCGGGGAAGGTGTGCTAGTCGCGGCGCCGCCGCTCGTCTCTCGGGCGGTGGACCTCCCTCGTCCGCCGGAGCTCGGCCAAGTTGTACGCGCGCAGCGCCTCCGACTGCGACCGGCCGCCCACGCGGACGACGCGCGGCTCGAAGGCGAGGATGCCTGTTCACAGGGACGTGGTGTGAAGAGACGGCTGTCGGGCGGCGCGCGGCTCGGAGGCGAAGATGCCCTCGAGGAACTGGTCCAGCGCGTGATTGGTTTGGCAGAGCACGAGGATGGGAGGCGCGCTGCCGCCGCCACCCCCCGCCGCCAGGGCGGCCTCCTCTGCCGCAGCGTCGACTGCGACGCTGCCAGCGGCGGAAGAGGAAGAGATGCCATCCTCAGCGGCGGCGGAGCCGGCGGCGGCGGCGGTCGCCGCCGCCTTCTCGTGCAAAACTCGCTTGTGCGCGCGCCAGCTCCGCACCGCTCGAGGGGCAACGGCACCGCCGCTGCCAGTGGCGGCGTCGGCGGCGTCGGCGGTTGGGGCGGCGGCGGGGGCGCTCCCGGCTGCCTCTTCGCCATCCGTCTCTCCGCAAGCCGCCTCCCCGCCCACAGCCTCCTCGCTGTCATCGATGCGGAGGATGCACTCTTCCGCCGCCGCGAGCGACGCCGCCGCCTCCGCGGGCGCGGGCGCGGGCGAAGCGGGCGGGTCCGCAGACGGCTCCTCCGGCTCGCCGCTGCCGAGGAAGCAGGCGTGTCCGGTCGGGTAGCAGGCGGCGCCCGACTCCTCCAGCGCGCGCCTCTCGTCGCAGAGGCGCTGGAAGAGGGGCGGCGGCAGCACCGAGAAGCCACGCCGCTCGATCCTCGTCAGCCGCTGGTGGCGCTGCTCGAGGGCCGACTCTGCGAGCGTCTCCTCCTGGCCGCCGTGTAAGCTCAGCGGCGAGTCGGCGGCTCGGCGCGAGACGAGGCGAAAGGAGGCGAGGGGGACGGACTGCGGCAGCGACGCGCCCTCCGCGCCGGTGGCCTCCGGCGCTGCCTCCGGCGCTGCCTCCGGCGCTGCCTCCGGCGCTGCCTCCGGCGCTGCCTCCGGCGCTGCCTCCGGCGCTGCCTCCGCCACACCCTCCTCGGAGGCTGCCTCCTCCACCTCCGGGGCGAGCTCGGCCACCTCTGAGCCCGCCTCCGAGCCCGGCGCGTCGGCTGCGCCGGAGGCGGCCTCTGGCGTCGCCGCTGCCGACTCGGCACTCCCCACCGCGGCCTCGAGCGCTCGCTCGGCCGAGGAGGTCGTCTTGTACGTCTGGGCGATCAGCGCGAGCGTGCGAGCCTCGACCTCGCCGCCGTCCTGTGCGGCGTCCACCTAGTAATGAACGAAGTAGTTAATAACTAAGAACAGGTGGAGCTTATCGTCCTGCGCGGCGTCCACCAGCTCCCGCGCAGCGTGCTCGTCGAGGGTGCCGTCGCCAGCCTAGTCGTCGACGCATTCATTCTGGACCACTTATCTGGCGATCTCCCTAGCGAGGGTGCCGCCAGCCTTCGCCAGACTGGTGGCGCGGTCGAGCAGCGCGCGGACGTACGCGACGCCATCGATGGTCCGGTAGGGCTCGCCGTCGCCGCCGCTCGCCGAGGGAATCGCGCCGTCGGCCGGGCTCGCCTCCGCAGCCTCGTCGGCGTCCGTCTCGGCCACCGCCCGCGCGTGCGCCACCGCCGCCTCCACCGCCGTGTCGAAGAGGCCGAGATAGACGAACCTTCCTTCCTTCTTGCGCTTCGCCTCGTACCGGCCGTTGCGCGCCTTGTGCACGCCTCGGTAGCCGGTGGCGTTGCTGCTCGACAGGTGCAGCCGCACGCCCTCCGCCGCCTCCGCCACCGCCGGCGCTGTCCCGATTGCCCGCGCGTACGCCACCGCCGCCTGCACCGCCGTGTCGTACGTGCCGAGGTACACGTTCCTCCCGTCCACCTCTTGCGTCGCCTTGAAACGGCCAGAGGCCACCTTGGACACGCCCGTGTAGCCCGTCCGGTTGCTGCTGGACAAGTGCAACCGCAACCCCTCGACCTCCACCCTCTCCGTCCCCTCCGCTGCAGCGAGCTCCCTCTCGTCGGAGCTGCTGCCGTGCTCGGACTCGGTGCGGCTTGAACTGCCGCCCGAACTGCCGCCGCCCTCCACCAAGCCCGCCGCGGCCGTGCCGCCGCCCTCGTCCTCCGCCGCCCGTGCGGCCGTCAGAGCGTGCCTGTCGGCCGCCCGAGCCCGCGCCGGCGAGGAGGCCCAGAGGCGCGCGTTGCGGAGCAGCGTGCGCACAACGATCAGCCCGATAAAGGTCTTGCCTGTGCCGGGTGGGCCCTGCACGAGCCCGAGCCGGCGCGAGAGCAGCGCCTTGGCGGCGGCGATCTGCCGCTCATCGAGCGACGTCCCCTGCGGCACGCCCCCGCCGTCGGCCGCCTCCCACCCTCCGCACACGTCGACCAGCTGCCGGCGTCCTATAGCCGAGACCCGAGATCTAGCCGAGATCCACCCCGCGCATGCCGACCCTCGCGCCAGCCGGCGGCCCTGCGGCAACTCGTTGAAGATCGGGCGCACGTCGTACTGGCGGCCAGCCGGAGAGAGGTACGAGGGCGGCGCGTCGCACGCCTCATACCGCAGCAGCGCCTCCTCGAGCGGCAGTCGCAAGCCTGCCCACAGCGGCGCAACGTGTGAAGAGACGTGTGGAGAGACGCCTCTCGGGGGGCAGCAAGCCGAGTGCAGGACTCGCCTCCGGCAGGCTCGCCCTCCCCCCTCTCCCCGCCGCCTAGCCGGTGGCGGAGCAGCGCCGCAAGGACCGGCCGGTACGCGCCCCAGTACGCCCCCGCCTCCACCATCGAGTAGCGCTCGCCGGACCGCTCGGCTATCTCGACGGCGAGCCGCGTGTCCTGCGGCACCGCGCCCGCGGAGAAGGCCTCGAGCCCGGCGCCGTCGCGCTGAAAGGCGACGAAGAGGGCGCCGTCGCCGCGCTCGAGCGCGATTTCTCGCTTGGCGACGATGGCGCAGCGGCAGCTCCGCCATCCGTCCGGCGAGAGGAGGACCATCGAGCCGTTGACGAGGCTCGAGATCTCCGCCCCAGCTGTCTCCGCCCCCTCGCCGCCGAGCGCGAGCTCGTGCAGCAGGCCGAAGGGCTCGCCCGCTTGGGCGCCTGGGCACGCGTGGAGCTGTGAAGAGACGCGGCTCACTGAGGGCCGGAGGGCTCGCCCTCGCGCCTCGGATCCGAACCCCCTCGTGCAGCCTGACCTCGCGCGGCGGCGTCTCGCCCCGCTGCAGCGCCGCGAGGGTGGTGCGAAGCGGCCGCACAAAATCCTCGCGCAACAGGTTGTAGTGCGTGCGCAGGCACTCCTCGCTCGTGAGGAAGCCGGCGGTCTGGTTGGGCGCAGGGTCGACGCCACTCCCCGTCAGCTCTGCGGAGCGGGGCAGGATGGCGCCTTGATCCCATGCGCCGTCAGTGCACCACATCGCTCCTCCTCCTCCCCCTCCCCACCCTCCCCAATCCACTCCTCCTCCCCCTCCTCCGCCGCCTCCACCGCCGCCAGCGCAACCCTCGCGTGCGCCTCTGCCGCGGAGCGCGACCGCCTAGTGACTCAGCTGACGAGTCACAGTCGGCTCGTCGGTCCAAACTGCCGCTGCGCGAGTGGGACCGCCTCGGCGAGCCGCGTGCTCATCTCGGCAGAGAGGCTGGCCGAGGGCCCGACCGAGCCTCGCACGAGCTCGACCTCGGCGAGGAGCCGCTTGAAGGGGAGGCGCCTCGCGGCGGCGGCGAGCAGCGGCTCGCTCAGCAGCTCGAGCGACACCTCGAGCCAGGCGCACGCGAGCCGGTCCTGTGAGACACGTCACGGACACACGTCACGTGTCCGGGAGAGGGCTTGGCCACGGCGCTGGTGCAGCCGGCGCCTGCTTCTGCACCTCGAGAGGCGCGAGCCTCTCGTACAGCCGGCAGGCGGAGCGACGCACCGCCTGCGCGCACGGGCGTGAGGCGTGTTGGGAGAGGCGGCTCCACAGCCACGGCGTGTGAGCGAGTGGTGTGGCTACTGTGCCTCGACCCACTGCGGCGACTCGAGGAAGCAGACGAGGGTGAGGTGGGCCAGCGGCTCCCCTTTCTCCATCCGGCTCAGCAGCACCACGCTGCGGTGCACCTGAGGGAGCCGGAGAGCTTTGCTGGGAAGTGCTCGGAGCGTTCTCGTGCGTCCGGCGAGGCAAGACGCACGTCGGACTCATTCCAACACGAGTCGCGGGCAGACGCACGGAGCCCATTGCCGGTGCCAAGTAGAAGCTGAGCGATCGGAGGCGCGGCGGAGGCTGCCGCTGCACCTCTCTTGACGTGAGCCAAGTAGGCGCGGTCGAGCGAGGCGCGCAACGTCGGACAGAGGCCGTCGTGGGACCACGGCATGCCGGACGGAGCGTGACACGAGTCGAGGCGAGAGGCGAGAACGAGCAGGCCACACGTCGAGGGGAGAGGGGGCAAAGGGCCTCCGCGAAGGCAAAGCCCTCTACTCCTGGCGCCCGTTCTGTGGCCAGAAACATTGGCGTGAAAAAAAAACGCGACGCCTGTGGGCCCGAGAGCGATATGCCGTGTCCGCCTTGCGTTTGTTTCATAACATCGAAGGCTAAGCTCAAAAAAAAACATACAGTTAAGGCTAAGCTCAAAAAACAGTTGCACGGTGCACCGCGGCTCTCGCTCGAGCCCGAACTGCCCGTCGGACATGTCGGAACCGTCGGATAATAGCGACTAGCACACCTCTGTCAAGAGTTCCCGAGGAGTCACACAGTCCACCTCCCTGCGAGCGGGGCGGGGTGCGCACTGTGCCTCGGTGTTCGTGCGTCGCCCATCTCTCCTGGAGATCGGTCTGCTCTATTTATTTATTGGGGGTGCGCTTAGGCCTTAGCTCCCCGGCCCTGAGCGTGCGGTTACCGACTGCACTCCAAGCAAGGGCTCTCCATTCTCTCCATCCAAGTGCCCACACACACATGCACATGCACATGCACATGCACATGCATGCACATGCACATGCACATGCACAACGCACACACATGCATGCGTTTTGCATGCATGCCACACCCACATGCACAGACAGACACTGCCCCTTCCCCTATCCCCCCTCAAAAGACCTCACTCAAGGGCGAGGACACGCCTGAGGGAGGGTGTAGAGGATGTAGAGTTTTAGGATGTAGAGTGTGGAGCACTGTAGAGCTGTAGAGATGTAGAGCGCTCTGGAGCGCTGCAGAGCTGTAGAGCTCTACATCCGCCGCGTGACGATGCGCCTGCGTTGTAGAGCGATGTAGAGCGCGATTTGCTGTAGAGTTTGTTGTAGAGGCTCTACAGCCAAACCGCCGGGAAGGCAGTGACTCAAAGAGGTCGAGTCGCACTAATGGGGTGTACAGTCTCCGAGCTTACTGGAGCTCTGATGGACGGCCCTGACTATCCCTGACACACATGCGTTATTTTATTTTTCCAGCGATGGCTTCCACCGCGGCGGCGAGGCTAACGGGCAAGGTCGCCCTGGTCACCGGCGCGGGTTCTGGCATCGGCCGCGCGTCCGCCCTCGCGCTCGGCCGCGAGGGTGCCTCTCTCGTCCTCGTCGGCCGGCGACAGGCGCCGCTGGAGGAGACTGCGGGAGCGCTGAAGGCGCTCGACCCGGCCGCTGCTCCGCTGGTGCAGCCGACGGACTGCACCGATCCGGCGGCCGTGTCGGCGCTCTTCCGTGCCGTCGAGGAGCGTCACGGCCGCCTGGATGTCCTATTCAACAACGCGGGATCGGGCGCGCCGCCTCAGAGATCACTCACTCCGACCTCTGAGAGACTTGCGAGAGGCGCGTGAAATGTCGAGCGGCGTCGGAGACGCCGCATGCGTTCCGGTCGCACGTGACGGAGCTTGCAACTCTCAGGCGCCCCGGCTCTGCCCCTGGACGAGCTGCCGGTGGAGGAGTGGCGGTGAGATCCGCCGAGATCCGCCGAGATTGGTCGAGATCAGCTTAGAAGGAGATCAGCCACCCGCTGCCTGAGCCCGGCGTGAGAGACCTCCAGTCTCAGCGGGCGCGAGTCTGCGCCCCTCGACCCTCTGCCGAGCCCACGCCGCCTCCCTGCCGCCTCTGCTGCCAGCCGAGTGCTCAGCAATAATAATAATAATAGTAATAATCTCTGCTGCCAGCCGAGTGCTCGACGTCAACCTGTCCGCCGTCTTCCTCTGCTCGCGCGAGGCGTTCGCTCTGATGAAGCGGCAGGCGCCGCAGGGCGGCCGCATCATCAACAACGGCGACCCGCACACACCCCGCCGGACGCGCCTCCACGCACCTTAGCCACACCTCCGCCTCCGCCGCACCTCGGCCACACCTCGGCCGCACCTCGGCCGCACCTCGGCCGCACCTCGGCTGTATCTCGGCTGCACCTCGGCCGCACCTCGGCTACAGGCTCCGTCTCGGCGGACCGGCCGCGACCAAACAGCGCCCCCTACACCGCGACCAAGCACGCGGTGACCGGCCTCACCAAGAGCTGCTCGCTCGACGGCGAGATGTCGCCGAGACTGGCTCCGAGAGGAGTCCGAGAGGGGACGGAGGGAGTCGCGGCCGTCTTCGGCCAGCTGTGAGTAGAGACGCGTGTGGCTGGCACGCTAGGCCGGCCGTGGAACATCGCCTGCGGCCAGATCGATATTGGCAACGCCGACACGTCGCTCGCCGCCGCCTTCAAGACGGGCGTGCCGCAGGCGAGATCGAGCCGAGATCGAGCCGAGATCGAGCCGAGATCCGGCCCAGCTTTGGTGCGGCGAGACCGCCGCCGACCAAACTCGCTGCCTCCCATTTCGGTACATCTCGGCTCAACTCTCGGTCAGTCAATCTCGGTACACCTCGGCCGGCTGCAGCTCGGCTGCATCTCGGCTGCATCTCGGCAGGCGAACGGCGAGGTCAAGACAGAGCCCACGATGGACGTGGACGACGTCGGCCGCGCGGTGGCGTACATGGCGTGCGGTAGCCGAGATGGAGCCGGGGCGGAGTTGAGATGCAGGCGAGGCGTGGCCGAGGTTCAGCCGACAGCGCGTGCCGTGAGTAGGCGAGTCTGCCGCTCGAGGCGAACGTGCTGCAGATGACGGTCATGGCCAACAGCATGCCACTCATCGGCCGAGGCTAGCGCCAAGTCAGCTCGGGCAAGGTTGAGTAGAGAAGTGCATGTCGTGAGGCGGCGGCCACGCGCGATTCGCCGGTATGGCTTGCGACCGAATAATTTTGTACCGAGGGTTGCCGCGCAGCGCGAGACGCGAGAGTTTGCTCTAGTTCGGTGGTCGATTCCGGTTACCCCCCGCCGCTGAACGTCTTTTCTCTCATCATAAGGCCCTCTGCGCAGCACAGGACGAGTTTTGCCCGCGCTGCATCAAACATAAAAGTTTACGCGCATTACGGGAGATACACGACCCCCAGACGCCAGAGCGCGGTGGCCGGTGCAGCTGGCTCGTGGCAGCGCCGCCCCTGCCAGGCGGATTCCGGAAAGCGAAAGACTTCCGTCACATCTCACACACACGTACCAGCACGGCGAGCAAGTCCTCGCGCCGGCTGCTCCTGTGGGCTTGCCCACTGGCCGAATCACGCGTGACTACGACAGCGGACAGACCCGGCCGGAGGGGAAGCTGCACGGTGACCCGCAATCACTTTCCGAAGGAGATGTTGTACGAGCCTGTGGCCGGGTCCTTCTCCGCCTTGAAGTTGTCGAGCGACATGCCGAACCGGCCGAGGATGTTGTTGCCTGCGGCCGGGAGAGAGGTTGAGAGAGAGAGAGAGAGAGAGCCGCGCTGCACCGCTGTGCCCGCACAAACCCGGCCACATCTCCAGCCGCATCTCCGGCCCCCTCCATGTGCCCCCTCTCTGCTACATCGCCGCCCAAGTCCTTCAGCTTCCCGAGCATCTCCTCCTTCTGCGCCTCCAGCTTTGCCGCCGCCGCAGCCTACTGCCAGGACCAGACACGGTGCAGAAGGCTCACACCGCTTCCCAGCCTCGCCGCCGCCGTCGCCTCCAGCCGAGGCAGCGCCGCCGTCGCCTCGCGCCGCTCCTTGGAGCCGGAGGGCGCCTGTGGGGGAGGTGGGGCACTGAGGTGCGGCCGAGGTGCGGCCGAGGTGCGGCCGAGGTGCGGCCGAGGTGCGGCCGAGGTGCGGCCGAAGTGCGGCCGAGAAGTAGCAGAGAAGAGGCGGCGCCTGCTCCGCTACGCTCCTCATGTCCTCGGCCGCCTCCGAAGGCTCGTCCAGCGCCTCGCGCGCCTTTGCGCGGCGCAGCAGCACCTGAGCCGCGAGCAAGACAGGCGGGTCCGGAGCCTCGGAAGGGTCTCGTAAGAGTCTTGTCGCAGCAGCGCCTTGACGTAGCCTGGTCGCAGGGCCAGCGCCGCCGAGCAGTCCGCCACCGCGTTCTGGTGCTCGCCGAGCCTCGCGTAGCAGGCGGCGCGGTTGCCGTAAAACACCGCCCGCTCGGCGCACTCTGCGGCCACAGACACGAGGGATCCGCAGCGAGTGCGATGGCGGAGCCAGCGGAGCGGCGAGGTGAGATGAGAGCGCACTGAGGCCGCTGGCTAGGAACGAGCGCGGGAAAGGCGCTCGGGGCGAGTGCGGCAGGAAGCGGTCGCAGGGTCCGCAACCAGATCAGATGAGTCTCGGGTGTGCGATATGCTGACAGCGAATTTTATGACAGAGGCGTGGCGAGGCGCGCCGTCAGTGACTGCGTCGATGGCATCCGAGTAGTACTCAAGCGCCTCCACGTACTCGCCCGCGCCGAAAGCCGTGTTGCCCTGCTCCTTGGACAGCAGCGCCTCTGCCAGCGCCCGCGCCGCCGCCACCCTGCTCGGCTCGGACGGACCCATCCCGGCCGCAGCCTCGGCGATCGCGACACCGACTCCCCTCAAGCCGCTGCGCTGGTCAGCGGGTGTGGGCCTCGCGAGCGCGGGCGCGGGCGCGGGGATCTCCTCGATTATCGCCATTCTCGAGGCGCTGCGCGGCGACTTTCTCGTCCGCGGCTTGGGCAACTACCTGTAGCCTTGAGGCGCGGCGAGTGATCTGTGATCTGTAAGGGTCCGCCCGCAGACCCGAATTTGGAGGGCCTCAGAGGGCCTAAAAGTTTAATGTGTTCCTGCGCAAAAGGGGTCGGACACAGGGCGCAGCTCATGCTAAGAGCTAGAAGAGGAGATAGAGAGCAGCGAACAACTGAGGGAGGGTGTAGAGGATGGTAGAGTGTAGAGCGCTGTAGAGCTGGAGAGCTGGAGAGCGCTCTGGAGCGCTGCAGAGCTGCAGAGCTCTACATCCGCCGCGTGACGATGTGAGTCCGATGTAGAGCGATGTAGAGCGCGATTTTGCTGTAGAGTTTGTTGTAGAGGCGCTCTACAGCCAAACCGCCGGGAAGGCAGTGACTCAAAGAGGTCGAGTCGCGCTAACTAATGGGGTGTCTCCGAGCTTACTGAAGCTCTGATGGACGGCCCTGACTATCCCTGACACACAGAGAGTCACTCTGACGGCACACAACACCCTATAACTGCGTCATGACCAGCCTGCCATGTGTCGCCGGTGCCGCATTCGTCGCTGTGCTTCTTTAGCAGGCGGTGGACTGTCGGCTGCGAGGACGGTCGCATTTGCGCGAGGCGCGAGGAGAGCATTGCTGCGCGTTGCATGCGCCATGACTCGCGCCAGAGCGAGCGCGTGCGGGAGCTCCTGGCTGAGCGTTGAGTCCAGGCGAGTTGCGCTGGCCACGCGCTATCGCTACGCCGAGCCGAGCTGACGCGCCGAGGCGCCGGCCAGTCGCAGCCGTGAGGCATGCCACAGCAGCAGAGCCAGAGGCACCTGCCACCCATTGGGCGGGCAGACAGAAGGCCAGGGCAGCACTGGCAAGTGCTGAAGTGCAACGCGCCTCATGTCGGAGAGCGACCGTGCCTCGTTCGCCGCTTATGGTGTAGCGAGTTTGTTGTTAGGGTGCCCACAGGGCCCAAAAAAAGAAAGGAAAAAAGAAATGGGCCACCCCCGATCGCAGCACTTCGTGTTGGCCAGTCGAGAAATTGAGAGTGTGACTAGGAGGGTGGGACGCTGGGGATTCTCAAAGGTATACCCTTGGAATGGCCGGATCCAGCCTTAAAAAGTACGAGATCGCGCGCGCTTCGCGCACAGCACCGCCTGTTCTCCGCGGCTGTGTGCCGACGCGTGCCGTGTGCCAGCAGAGTTGGGCGCGCGCGGCGCGACGGCGCCCGCGAGGGAAGGCGCGGGTGCAGCGGCCGCCGGCGGCCGTACCGCCCGCCAGCCAGCGCAGCAGCGGCCAGCGCAGCGGCCGCCGGCGCAGCAGCCAGATCAGCCGGTGCGCGTGCGAGGCGAGTACTGCCGCCCGGCAGCCTTGAGGCGGCCGGGCGGCAGTACTCGTTCGAACTTTGCGAGCCGTGCGCGCGCCGAGGCGCGCGCGGCGCGCGCCCGCCCGGCTGCCAGTAGGAGGCGGCGCAATATGGCCTATAGTAGAGCCCTTGAGGAGGAGGAAGAGGCTGGCTGGCAGTGCTGTATGCCGCCGAGGGGCAGTTTTGGGGTGCTGACCCACGCCCAGGGGGCTGCAGAAGGCGTCCGCAGCCGGGACAACCCGCCCCCCCAGCCGAGGCTGGTCGAAGCCCACTTGACCACAGCCATGAGGAGTCCTCTTGGTGCTCCTGGCGGCCGTTGGAATGGCGAGCGCGCGCCGAGGGGGGGGGGGGGGGTCTTGCTTGCTCCACACCGAGCGCCATCGGTCCGGACCGGCGTGGTCACCGAGGGGTGGCCTGCACAAGGTCTGAGCCGCGGGCGCTCGGCGCCAAGTGCAGTGTCACGCTCGCGCTGGAGCGGGTCACAATGGGAAACCCTCGTTTCCTATGAACTCGGTCCCCCAACGGAAGAGGCCTCGCTCCTATTGGAACTGGCCAACATCAGATTTGCCTCGTGCGTCCCTTTTTGAGTCGGAAAGCTATTTTCTTTTGGGTCCTGTGGGCACCCTATTGTTGTAGAGCGCCTGAGACTCACGTTGTAGAGCGCCTCTACATCGCTCTACATCGGACTCACATCGTCACGCGCCGGATGTAGAGCTCTACCTCTACAGCGCTCAGGCGAACAACCACCTCGTCCCGTTATTGTGTACACCAACACCACAAAAAGCTCTCTCTCCTGCTCCTCACTCAGGGGGGGGGGGGTCACAACTACTGAGTCCCTAGAGTCTAGCTGCCACGTTCAAAACCAGGACGGCGGCGGTGATGTTGCTATCACGGGAGCGGGGGAGCGGGTGGTGTACGGGATAGTAGAGCAGGCGCTTTGTGGGTGGCGGGTATGGGCGGCGGCATTGGGGGGCCGGCCGAATCGTTAGCTGAGCTCCTCCCTCAAGCTCGATCACGCATGACGCACGTTGAGTGACAACGTCGGCGAGCTTCTGAATCAGGTTTAGGTTGCCGGAGCACACGCGCACCCATGGCTCTCCAACTCCTCCTCTGAGTCAGACACGCCAATGTCGACTCTCGACTGCGCCCTCCTCTTCCCATTCGTCGACTGCGCCCTCCTCCTCCTCCTCCAATTCGCCGACTGCGCCCTCCTCCTCCATGGGCTCGATCCGATTCCGCAGCGTGTCGTCCCCAGCGGCGGTGCTGCGCGGGAGGCGGCCGCGGGCACGCTGGGCTCGATCAGCGGCTTCCCCTCAAGTTGCGCCGAAATTTCACGGATTTGGCGGACGTTCTTGGTTTCAATTTTACGGATGTCTTGGTTGGCACCAGCTGAAGGCTTGCCCCGGCCACGCACGACTCTCAGATCGCCCACTTTCGCCACGGTACTGTGTTCGGATATTGCTATTGGCTCGTGTGGGGGTATATGGCAGATTTGTCAATGGTACCGCGTCTGCGACGCGGGCGCCTTGCGGGCAGAGCCCTTAGCCACCCTTTATATCTTGCGCGGTCAACAAACAAGAAAACAGACAGACACCGAACGAGTCAGCATTAACCAATTCGTGTTCTATGTACACAATGCCCGTTCCGCGAAGAAGCTGCTGCTGCTGCTGCTGCTGCTGCTGCTGCGCTGCTGCTGCTGCCTCGAGCCCGGGGCCTAGCTTCCCTTCTGCCCGCCGCTGCTGTAAACACACATCGCGAAAGGAAGGCAGCTTCACGCAGGCGCCGATCGCCCACGCGCGCACGCGAATGCCGCGCCGCGACGAGCGCGCGGCGCGCGCCAATGCGTTGCTCTGAGCCATGCTGCCAGCGCGCTCGAGCCCTGTCGCGCGCAAGTCTCGCGGCAAAGCCTCTGGCGGCATTCACGCGACGGCAGCGCAGCGATCAAAACACACTCCCAAAACGGGTTCCCTGGGCTTGCCTGCGCGACGCGCATTCCTGCATCTGACGCATGGGCCGTCCACACTAGCCCTCCTCGCTGCGATCTTTTGCCGCCACTTCTCCATGCCCACACCGCCTCCCGCCCCCCTGCGCCGCCGACAGACACTCAGGCTTCCAGACTCAAACATGGAGGACGAACTCGGACTGAGCGAGCCGACGTCGGCGCCATCGGATCCGTTTGGCATGGAGGGTGCCCCTCCCCTCGGTGACCCTCCCCCCGCCGACGATGATTTTGGCATGGGAGGCGCCCCTCCGCTCGGGGAGCCGCCGGCCGATGACTTCGGTGCGGGCCACCATCACCCAGTCGCCGCACCAGCAGCAGCAGCCCGCCGCCGCGCCACTCGCTGAGCGTACCAGTCACAACCGCCGCCCGCCCGCCCCTTCCGTCTCATCACGCCGGCCGCTTCCCCTTCGTGGTAGGCATGGGTATGGGTGGTGCGCCACCGCTCGACGGCGGCCTCGCCGATGACTCGCCGCTCGGCGGGATGGGAGAGATGGACGCGATGGGCGGCATGCCGATGGACGGCGGCATGGGCGACATGGGCGGTATGGGCGACATGGGAATGCCGGCAGCTGCCCACCACCGATCCTCTTCCGAAACTGCGAAACAAAGTCTCCTGACACGTGCTCCCTCTGGACAGGCGGTGGGAGGGATGGACGAGATGGGAGGCGGCACCGGCACCCTAGATGGCCGGAATGCGAGAATACACCGAGATCGCTCCAGATTACTCGAGATCTTCCTAGATCGGGAACGCACTCATGCATCAGGGCGAGCATCGAGAGGACGCGTCACCTGCTGCGGCTCAGCGCTCTCAGCAGACACTGTATTGCACCTCGTTGGACCTAATTTCACACCCACACTTGCCGCCGCTCACTTCGAACGGTGAGCAGCGCCTCTCCACATTTCTAGCTGTGACCAGGCATGCCGATGGACGGCGGGCAGCGGGTAATGGGCGGCATGGGCGGCATGGGCGGCATGGGCGGCATGGGCGGCATGGGCGGCATGGGCGGCATGGACTCGGCCCCGCCCGACTTTTCGATGCCCACCGTCGGCCCTCTCGCAGAGTGGAGGATGACACAGGCGCGCGAGCTGCCCTCCTCTTGCCCCCCCCCCCCCCCCCTGGCGCTTGTGCTAGTCCGTACCGCTGGAGACCCACCTGGCCTTGGGAGTGCCCCTTCCGACGCCCCTCCCGCTGCGTGCAGGAGAACAAGCTCGCCGAGCGTGCTTCGGTCGCCGCAGCGGCACTGTCCGAGAAGCAGGCCGAGGCGCGGAGCGCGCTCGACCAGTTTTACGCGGAGCGGAAGGTGAAGAGCGAGGCCAAGGCAAAGAGCAACAAGGAGGAGGAGGCGCCCTTCTTCCTGCGTTCGCCAGCGCTACGCGTGAAGGAGGACCAATCATTCACCGCACGAGGCGTGACCCGCGTAGGCGTCCTTCGTGGCCGACCGCGACGCGACAATGGCCACGGACAGCTGGGAGTCGGTGATGCTTGCCCAGCCTCACCTCAAAATCGCACCGTTCAATCCTGGACCGCATATAGCTCTCCAGCTAACCCAGCTCCTCCGCCCCCCCCCCCCCCGCCGCCGCCGCCGCCCGCCGCCGCCGCTAAGATTTGCAAGATGGTGGACCTCAACGTCAAGGATGGCGAGAAAGACAACCCAAAGCCGGTGCGCGCCCAAGCGAACCCCAAGAGATTCAAAAGAGACTTTGCTCCACATTTTGCCGGCACGCTTCTCTAGGTGGACCGTATGCGCGGGATGCTCTTCAAGCTCAAGGCGGCGCCCGCGGCTGGGGTGGCGTTCTGAGACCGCCCAATCGAGTTGGTGAGGCGGGCACCCGCCCCACTTGCTTGTGTCTCGCGCGGAGCGGGACAGGTTGAGCCGCACATGAAGCGAGAGGGAGTACTCCGCACAGCTGGATCGCGTCGCCTTTGTAGTGCCCTTTTTTGTGCACCTTTTGGAGCACTTGGAGTGCAGTCATTAACCGCACATCCAGGCGGGCCGGGGAGCTAAGAAGCGCACCCAGCGGGCCGGATGATTGGCATCGGGGTGCGGGCAAGAAAGCCCTAGGCCTAGCCCTGGGGGTGCGCGGTCGCAGGGAAAGGGCCTTAAAGTAAACACGGGTCCCCGAGGGTTAGCTCTGCGCTCCGGGTTTCCCCTAGCAGCGGAACGCCCCCTCTACTCGGGGCTAGTAGACACCAGACACTAGCACGACAACACACACATTCCTCACTGACATCACCGCTCGGAACCCCCCGCTCCGCGCACGGTCTCCTCATTACTTGGAGCACTTGGAGTGCAGTCATCAACCTCACATCCAGGGCCGGGGAGCTGAGAAGCGCACCCAGCGAGCCGGATGATCGGCATCGGGCTACGGGCTAGAGAGCCCTGACCGCAAGCTACCCTTCATTTTTTTTGTCAGTATGGCTATCAGCATGGCGATGCTTGGGCTGGAGTCATTCCGGTGCCGGTTGGCTGGAGTCCTACGATTCATCCGTCAGCTAAGCCTGCTCCGACTCGTCCCGCGCTGGGTGCGCGCTCGCGTGCGACGCCATCACGGCGGCTGGAAATACGCTTGCGACTCCGCCAACCATCGCAAGTGGCTGGCTCCGGCTCTCGAGGCGGCGGGGTTGCGGGAAGAGGAAGAGGGCTGGCGCGGCACTGCGGCGGTGCGCTGGACGCTGCGGAAGCGCGTACTGCCCGACCCGGTTGGCGCCGCAGCCTTCAACTGCCTGCCACAGCTGCAGCTGCTCGACGACAAGGCGTTGCTGGCGCTGCTCTGCCGCTCCTTCTCACGCACGGCGCCGCTAGTCACGCACGTGATTTACGGCGAGTGGGACGCCGCGCGCCTCGCGGCACTGCGCGAGCGGTGGGGCGCCTCTGCGTGCGACGAGCCGCGCTGGTTTCCAGATAGATGGGAGCAAGGTCACGGCACTGGAGCATTGGAAGGGTTCGAGTGGCGGCGGCGGTCACACGAGCAAGACAGAGACAGCAAAGGGCTGGCGGCGCCCCGACGCAGCGACCTCCCTTCTAACCTCCAGCCGTGCGTAGGTGGATCATCAAGGACGCGCACTCGTCGAACGGCTTCTCCGCCGCGCTCGACCTGATTTGACTGGTGAAAGTGAGCCTCACCTCGATATTTAATCAGTTAGGCTTCTCCGCCGCGCTCTTCGACCGGCTCTCCCGGCCGCTCGAGCCGACGGACGTGCCGGGAGGCTACTGCTACGTGGTGCAGCAGTACGTCGACCGCCCGCTGCTGCTCGGCGGACGCAAGTTCGAGCTGCGGCAGTACGTCCTCCTCTGCGGCGACGGCGCCGGCTTCACCTACTCGACCGCCCTGCTGCGCCTCGCGTCGGTGCCGTACGAGCTTCGCTCCGAGGACCGCCGCGCGCACATCACCAACAAGTACGTGCAGACTGGGTGGGAGAGCACGTCGGAGCTGGTCGGCTCGCTGGACGACATCGAGTGGACCTCGGCCCGGTGGCCAGGCTACGAGCGGCTGCTCGAGGCGTCCCTCCTCCCCCTCCTGCGGGACCTGCTCGACGTGCTGCAGCCGCTGCTCGAGCGAGGCCGCCGCGCCGCGCCCGCCTCCGCCTCGCCGCTCCACTTCGAGCTCTTCGCCTGCGACCTCGTCGTGACCGCCGAAGGGGTGTGCAACCGAGATCCAGCCGAGATCCAGCCGAGATCCAGCCGAGATCCAGCCGAGATGCAGCCGAGATCCAGCCGATCTCCTGGGACAGGTGGCACACCTTATGGAGGTCAACATCAACCCTGCCTTCGGCGCTTTCTCGGAGGCGACGCAGGCCGCCCTCGTGCGCCCGCTCTTCGCCGACCTCGCCGCCCTCGTCCTCCTCGTCGCCGCACGTCAGCTCGCCCTCCCACACCGTCTCTTCACAGCCCCACCCCTGTGAACAGGTCCTCCTCCCCGCAGCCGGCGAGCCGCCCCGCCCCGGGCGCTTTCGGCAGATCAGGGCCGCGGGGCAAGGCGCAGCGGCCACCGTCGCAGGCAGCGTGGCTGATGGCGAGGGCGGCGGTGAAGCCGGCGGCAGCGGCGGCAGCGGCGGCGCAGGTGCAGATAGCGCAGGCGGCTCAGACCGCAAAGGCGGCTCAGGCGCGGGCGGAGGCGGAGTCGGGCTCCCGCCAAAGGCGGTGGACGACCTCGCGGCGCACACGGCGTACATGCTCTTCAAGAAGAGCCACCGAAAGCGGTACGAGCGGCAGCCGAAGCCGAGCCCGTTGTGGCGCGGCGCGGCGGGCGGCGCGGGGGAGAGTGCCGGCAGCAGCTGCATGTCGGCTGCCGCCACGTCAAATGGCCGGCTTTAAAACGTTACTGTCACTTAGCGTCTACGTACAGTTTGTGGTTAAGAGAGTGGTGTCATTGGAAGAACGACGAAAACGAAATAATCCGCGCCGGATGCTGATCCCCGGGCGTGTGTGCGTGCGAGTGCTCTGTGTGCAGTGTGGCCTCCAAATCACCCCTCCCACCACACCGAGCCAGCTCGAGCAAACGAGGGAGCGCCGAGCCGCAGCCGAGGTGCGAGGATGACAGTACCGCGCGTGATTCAAAGCTACAACACCTCGACCTCCGCCTCGCACCCTATCAGCGGCGCCAACGAGAGCCGCTCCAGCACCAACCGCGGCGTCTCATCGCGAATCAGCAACTTGTGCCGCCCGGCGGGCGCATCCTCCGGCACCCGAAGCCGCGCCACCACCGGCCCGCCAAGCTCTGGCGAGAGGACACTGCCAATCGGCCAAAATTGTGGCTCTGCGGCGTCGTCGTCGGCCGGAGCCGCCTCGAGCGCCACGCCCAGCGTCCGGCCCCACTCCTGTGGCGCCGGGAGCGCGCGGTCGTCGTGCGCCGCGTCGTGCGCCGCCTCCACCTCCTCCCCTGTGGCCTCCGAGAACGGCGGCTGCTCCTCTTGCCGCGCCGCGACTTGCAAGCAGCGCAGCTCGAGCGCGGGCAATGCCTGTCCTGCAGCAGCGCGCAGCACACCCAGGGTGGCCGGCCCATCCTCTCCCTCTCCGTGTGGCTCCCCTGCGCCTTCCTCCTTTGGCTCTGCTACAGCGGCGAGGGTGTATGAGAAGGTCAGCGCAATGACGTCGTCAGCCGGCCCACCCTCGCGCACCAGGTCGACTGACGCCTCTACTCCTTCCAATGCAGGATTAGTAATGTGGAGCTCGCCCGAAGCGACAGCCTCCTTCTCTCCCAACCGGAGAGTAAAGCGGAAGCTGGGTGGCTGGCGCGTCCCCGCAGGAAGCTCAACCCGCAGCCCCTCAACCCAAGCGGCGTCGGTAGACTCCCCGGGTGGCGCCGATACTGCGGTGGAGCCGCTTGCGGCAGCACGCTGCTCGTCGACTCCTCTCGGAGTTAGAAGCTCGCAGAAGATGCTCAGCTCGCCCTCCGCCTCGGCGAGCGCCGCGCAAGCAGCCGCTCGCAAGACGCCAACCGCCAGTAGCATCGGAGCCTCGGTGAATGGCGCGGCGACGATGTGCGTCGCGGGCGCCAGCGGCACGCCCGCCGCGAAGGAACCGCAGTAGCAGTAGGACCCGGGGCTCCGATACTCTCCCGCCCCGTCGGGTAGATCGGCTTTGAAGGTGCCCCGATAAATGGCCCGGGCCCACTCCGTCTCGCCCTCGCCCTCCCGCACGCCCTGGGACCACTCGCCCCTGTAAACAGAGCCGTCAGCGACGGTGCACAGCGTTCCGACCCCATCTCTCGCATTCGCGTGCCACGTCCCCTCGTAGCGGTCGCCAGCGGCGGAGATGTGCAGACCTGGGCCCTGCCTGCAGTTTTCCTGAAAGCTGCCCGTGTACTGAGAACCGTCGCTCGCGACCAGGGTGCCCTTGCCGTGCATCTCGCCTCCAACAAAGTCGCCAGAGTACGTGGCGCCGCTCGCCCACCGCCGCAGTCCGACTCCGGTCATTTCGCCTTGCTGGAACGAGCCGGTGTACTCGGAGCCATCGGCAAGACAGAGTGTTCCGTTGCCGTGCATCGCGCCTTTGTACCACTCGCCGTCGTAGCTGAAGAATTTGTTAGCGAAGGTGCATCGGCCCCGGCCATCCCGCAGTCCGTCGGCGGTGCCACCCTGGTATGGGCTGTAGGCCTGGTAGTCGGCGGACATTGCGCAGGCGCGTTCGTTCGTTTCGTTTTGTTCGTACGTGTGAGAGAGGGGTCTCTCCCCCTTCTCGACTGTCTGTGCTTGTGCGTCTTGGGTCCGGAGTTGTGCGTTTATGTGAGAGAGGGCTAACCTCGAAATGTGCACCTTGGTGGCTGCGCTCCCTGTTTCACAGCCATCCGTGCTAAGGATGGCTGCAATTGCAGGATCCTAGCCACTCCGCCCTGCAAGCACGCGCCATTTTGGCTGCCTTCCAGCCAGTGCCATTTTGGCTGCGATGGCTGTGTCCCGGCCATCCGCCCGGCCGCATGATGGCTGTCATACAGCCGTCGCAGCCATTTGGCCGGAGGATGGCTGTCGCGAATTCGACCCAGCCTTCTCGCCGCCCCGACACGAGCCCAGGTGGCTCCACTCTCGCTCCGCGAGCCACCACACCTTGTTCTGGATGGCTGGCGTCGTTATCTCTCAGCCATCGCGTTGGAACGCTTGGTCAGGATCTAGTAAGCTTAGCCACTGGCCGCGCACGCCGCACTTGCCTGCGCCCTGGCCGCGCACGCCGCACTTGCCTGAGGGTATGGGGGTGGGCGCCACCCTGGGGCTACCCATAGCATCGTCGGCTCAGTGATGGGTATCCGGTGTTCGTGGGCTGTGTGAAAAATGAACGCGTTCGCCGTTATTCAACAGGCGCCCGCCGGAAACCGCATTCTCCGGGTCTGGGCTACAGGTACGTCTTCCCCGCATTCCCGGGATAGCCGTGTACGCGGCATCTGCTTGTTCGTCGCCGCCGCCACTACCACGTCACGAGTCACTGTTGTTGCTGCTGCCGCCGTCGCCACCCTCGCAGCCGCCACAGCCGCTGCCGCTGATGCTTTTGATTCTTGGACTCGCAGCGCTGTGGCTGCTCTGCCACACCGGCAGGAGCCGCACGGGGCCGCGGCAGCTAAGCCTCGCGCCGACACTGCTGCTGCTGCTGTCCTACGTCCCCACGGCTGCTCCGACTGCCTACGTCCCCACGGCTGCTCCGACTGAGACGCCCTCGGCTGATCCCACGTGCAGCGTGTGCCCCGAAGTTGAGGTCTTTAGCCGCTGTCCCACTTACGGCGGCAACCAGGCCGGCTGCGACTCCGACGCCGGGTGCGAGTGGTGCTTGAGCCGCAACAAGTGCCGTGTGCTCTGCACATGTAACGACGACTCGCCTTCCGCGGCGGCACTCTTCCAGAACTGCTCTTACGTCAACAACGAGTCCACCGCCGTCGTATCCTTCTGGCCGCCCATACTGGCGCCGGCGTACAGCGCCTACCCTCCCAACTGCAGCTGTGCCGACGCTCCGACGCTGCCTGCCACGCCACCGCCGCCGTCCCCCCCGCCGCCCTCTCCGCCGCCTCCGTCTCCGCCACCACCCTCGCCACCATCACCATCGAGCTCCGCGCCCTCGTCAGCTCCCTCCTCTTTGCCCTCGTCAGCTCCGAGCTCTGCCCCGTCGTCATCGCCCAGCGCCGCACCCTCCTCTTCGCCCTCGTCGGCTCCTAGCTCCGCCCCCTCCTCCTCGCCGAGCTCCGCGCCCTCTTCTTCCCCGTCCTCGGCTCCTAGCTCCGCCCCCTCCTCTTCGCCCTCGTCAGCTTCGAGCTCTGCCCCCTCCTCCGCCCCCTCCGCCGCTCCCTCCTCTGCACCACCCAGTTCGACGGCTTCGCCTACAGAGTCGCCGACGGCTTCGCCTACCGCGTCGCCCACCCCGCCGCCCACCTCGCCGCCGCCCTCACCACCACCGCCCTCACCGCCACCGCCCTCGCCGCCGCCCTCACCTCCACCCTCACCGCCGCCCTCACCACCACCGCCCTCGCCGCCACCTCCCTCGCCGCCGCCCTTACCTCCACCCTCACCTCCACCCTCACCGCCGCCGCCCTCGCCGCCGCCCTCGCCGCCGCCCTCGCCGCCACCACCCTCACCGCCGCCGCCCTCGAGCTCCGCGCCCTCGTCAGCTCCCTCCTCTTCGCCCTCGTCAGCTACGAGCTCTGCCCCGTCGTCATCGCCCAGCGCCGCACCCTCCTCTTCTCCATCGTCGGCTCCTAGCTCCGCCCCCTCCTCTTCGCCCTCGTCAGCTTCGAGCTCCGCCCCCTCCTCCGCCCCCTCCGCCGCTCCCTCCTCTGCACCCAGTTCGACGGCTTCGCCTACAGAGTCGCCGACGGCTTCGCCTACCGCGTCGCCCACCCCGTCGCCCACCTCGCCGCCGCCCTCACCACCACCGCCCTCGCCGCCACCGCCCTCGCCGCCGCCCTCACCTCCACCCTCACCGCCGCCCTCACCGCCGCCGCCCTCGCCGCCGCCATCGCCGCCGCCCTCGCCGCCGCCCTCGCCGCCGCCCTCGCCGCCGCCACTTTCAGGCGCCACCCTCACCTCCACCCTCACCGCCGCCCTCACCGCCGCCCC